ATTTTGCTCTGGTAATATCTAGAAACATGATCACGTAGACGGAATCAGATGGTAGCATACGAGACATAGATGGTAGTATACTGGTTCAGAGCGCGATGCGTGCAAAACCCTACTCCAGTGGTGCGGCTGCTCTTGTATTCGTATGCTCAATTATAGAGGTTATTGTTCCTAGCTACGAGGTAGATAGAATATGTGGAAGATTGGATCCCGTGTCCGAGGTCCCTACCCTCCTTTATATAGGTAGGAGAGGTAGGGTTACAGAGAGGGTGATCGGGCTAATAGACTGTGTTCCTAGTTTGTTATACGATATGCGCAACAGATTGATCCTAGTTATTATCAAAATATACCTACCTTGGTTTGCCTTGATCTACACGTTGGTCGATCGCGTCAGCCCTTACGGACCTCCTTCTTGACGGCTGTTGGGTTCATATATACGGGCGGTGTAGGTACTCCTGGCCCATATCTCTAGCACATCTTATCTACAATTTTTGGCTGGATCTGCCCATACTATATACTCTCTTCATTCAAATTATAAGTCATTCAAACTTTCTTAGAGAGTATCTTAAATTTAACCAAAATTATTGAAAAAATTACAAAGATTTATTACATCAAATAGGTAAACTATAAAAATATAGTTAATGAAGAATCTAATAATACTTATTTAGTAATATAAATGTTATTATTTTATTATATAAATTTGATCAAACTTGAGATGTTTTGACTCTCCAAAAAAGTTAAAATGACTTATAATTTGAGATGGATGGAGTAGTATATTGTTTTTCAAAACTCTCCATAAAAATTTTTGAATCCGAATTATTTGACATCTTAGTATCAATAAAAAAAGTTAATTAAAACTATCAATAAAAAAGTTCCAATCCGAATTATTTGTTTTGTATCTGTATTTAATTTAAGAATATTTAAATATAACATTCCACACCGGATATTACTGCCAGTATACTTTAAGCCTGTATCGATGACATGTGGCCCCTGAGAAAAGCATGCGGGCTGCCCGATCCTGTTCGTAAAACGGCTGATAAATCGGTTAAAATTATTTTACTGCGAGAAAAAATACGGTACTGACGAGCCAACCGATAAGTTGACGCGAATATGCCCGGGCCTGTTTCACAGCTTCAGAACCCCTACGGCCCCACCCCGTGCCCGCCCCGGCTTCCCGTTCCGTGCTGCCCGCCAGTTCAAACCTCGAGAGCCGAAGCGAAGCGGAGAGGCCAAGGCCCCACCGGCGGCTGCGGAGCCATGGGGAGACCACGAGCGACCCCCGCGGCGGCCACCTCCAGGCCCAGGCGCAACCCCAAGCCAAAGCCGGACTCCTCCTTCCTCTCCCCGCTTGCGTCGCCGTCTGCCACACCGCGCACACGCACCCGCACACGCACACGCAAGGGCGCCATCCACGGCGGCGGCCCCTCCCCCGTGTCGTCGTCGCCGGGTTCTTCCCCCGCCGATCTCAACATCAGCTTCCTCTCCTCGCCGGGCTCCGCCTCCCCGCCGAAGCCCAAGCCGAAGCTCAGGTCCAGGGCCAAGCCCAAGCCCAAGCCGGACCCCTCCTTCCTCTCCCCGCTCACGTCTCCATCGCCGTCGCCTGCGCCGCGTACTCGCAAGCGCGCCGTCCGCGGCGTCGTCGGCTCCTCACCCGCGTCGTCGTCGCTGGGGTCCTCCCCCGCCGACCTCAGCATCAGCTTCCTCTCCTCGCCGGGCTCCCCCGCCTCCCCGCCGAAGCCCAGTGCCAGGGCCAAGCTCGCCGCGCGCGCGCCCCTCGTCGCCAGCCCCCTCGCCGCCACACCTTCCCCCGCCGCGTCTCCCCACCCTGCGTCGGTGGGGGCGACGGGGGTATCCAGCGTCGGAGACCTCAGGACCGCCGTCGCCTCACAGATGGAGAACCTCAAGCGCCGACTCGACGCACTCCATTCCCGCGCTCACGCAGATCTCGATGCGTCCTTCTCCCGTGTCTCCAAGCGAATCAAGGTGAGCCCGCCGCGAGCCTCTCCCGTACCCCGCTCCCCTCCCAGTCGCGTCGGGGTTTGGTTTCGAGCTTCGTGGTTTGCTTCGACGGGTCCTGCCAACACGAAGTGCTATTGTTGGTTGATGTTGTAGAGTGCTAGCGTGTGATGTGAGGAACTGGAGATAACCATTGTTGCATGAATGGCCAACGTGTCATTTCCTGATGTCATGGTCTCTGTAGATTTGTAGATTAAGCAATTAGCATATCTGAAATTTTCTCTGTTGTGCTGAACATCTGATCTATGAGATTACTATATATATAATATCCGATTTCTACAATTGACATATGAAGTACTATATCTGAGTTTCCGAAATTGGTTTACGAGGTTACTATGTCAGTTTATATACAATTAAAACATGCTCAATGTGCATAATCTGCTGGTGGAGATAGTTGATATATATGATGTTTTGTATCATAGATGTAAACATTTGTGGATAAGATACAAATCCATGAAATAAGTAGTGTATCTGGATCCCTTCCCTTTAGAGGTTTGCGGCATTAGTGTACATAGTGATACACGGGTTTTGTTGGCAAGAATTTATGTTTAAGTGTTGTATCATGAAATGGCACTGAATGAGGCAAGCTTATCTGTATTCTAAACTTCTCAATACCAAAGTATGTATATTTTTAGCTAATTCATTGCAGTCAGTAGAAAATGCAATTAGTTTACCCGGAGCATTTAACCAATACTGCCTTTGGAAATCCATGGAATTATAATTGCAATTGATACCATAACATGGTCAAATAGATTTCATTCACTCTTCTTGTTTGTAGTTCATATATGTAGGTAAATATTTGCTCAGATGGCTGGTGAGCTTTTCCATGCAAATTTTGTATTAATAGTGCATTTTCCACACCAAAATGTTAACCCACGCTTTGATGTGCACACAGTCTAGTTAATCCACATGTAATGCATTTTATTTGCTTCTGGTGTTCTGTTTGCTCTAACATATGTAAGATCCTAATTTTCTTTTCAGACCCAAAACCAAGCTTGTCAGCAACTAGCAGATGAAGTTGACAAAGAGCACAAGAAGATATCTGATAATATGAAAGAAAGTTCTGAGATTGCCAGGGTACAAATTTTGTAGGCCTATCAGCATCTGGAAATTTTCTATTCTTTTTCTTTTTTGTATTCTAATGTTTCTTTCTCATTTTCAGGCAAAGTACAAGCAGATCATCACAGAGGCACAGGCATCCACAACTCGTGGTATTATGCACATACTATACTTTAAAAGTTTCTGTTCTCTCTCTTTGACTTAACACCACTCTCTTGCTTCTAGAGTTGACTGATATGACCACATCAGATTGCAGAATATGGTCATAGCTAAATAATGATAAGTGGAAAGCAGGACATATCTATGGCCATGTTCTGTTCCTCTGGTTTTAACATTCCTGATTAGGTTGATCCTAAATTGTGTTGCATAAATGTTGTCTTTACTAACTGTTACTAATTTAGTAATTTCTATATGTTATTAGCATATCTCAACTCATACATTATGTTGGTCTTCTCCATTCTCATTTGTCTCTAATAATTAGTGTGCAAGGTGACTATCCCTGAGATGATAAAATCTGTGGAGAAAGCTATTGATGGTCTGTGTACCCATTATAATATCTCAATGCCAGTTTAGTTACCAAGTACAAGTTCTATTCACTACACTTTTGAGTAAGCACCACTTCTTACCCTCTGATGAACTGATGATTGATTTATCCCTATCTCTAGTTTAATGTAACCTTTTTTACTATGAGGACGCCTTTATCTTTATGATTGATACTAAAATGTCACTGAAGTGTCGTCTAATATCTTCCCTTTTGTAAACTTTTTATGCTTTGATATCATTTCCTATGTGCTTAATGAGCAAGTCAGGAATGCAAATACCTTGCAATAACTTCTGTTAACACATTGGTAGTTAATCTTTAGGCATCACTATTGTTGCTATAAGTAGTGTTGGAAATACAGTGCAACTTTGACTTGGTTGCTGTGAAATACTCCCTCCATTCCAAATTATAAGACGTTTTGGCTTTTCTAGATACGTTGTATTTATCATGCACATAGATATACACTATGTCTAGATACATAGTAAAATCAATCTAGAAAAGCCAAAACGTCTCATAATTTGGGATGGATCTAGTATTTTCAATTAGCCTGTGCAGTGAACACCGTTAAACTTATGATCTATTTCATCTCGCAGTGTTCAATAAAAGTTATATTGGCCAATAATTGAAAGGTTTATTTATACTAAGGCAATTTGCTCTCACCTCTATGTTCAACATTTACCTAATGACTGTTAAAGCTTGCGTGTAACCTATTGTTATTTTTTCCCTGTATGACATAACCACTTGTCCATTTGGCTGTGAAGGGGGCAAAGTTCCTTTGGTACTAAGATGTATTTCCTTTCCTTTGCAGATAGCCTTCTTCACATCAATCGGGCAGTTGAATCCTCATGTCTTGATGGTGTGGTCGTTGTTTGGACATCCGTAGAGTACAGACACATAGAAACATCGATGATACATGGGCGTAGGGAAGTATGTAGTATCAAGAGAGTTTATCGGTATCGCTATCCCATTTCTTTCCTGACTTACAGTCAGTATCAAAGCAGGAATCGAATGCTAAACTGCTGTTCCTTCTGAGAGATCTTAATCTGACAGTCAACACCAGCGTAATGTAATATGCTACCTATTACTCTAGAGCTATTTTCCCTAAAGCTTGAAGATGAACCTTCCGATGATCGTCAAAAAGACAAAAACTCATACCCAATCGACTTCCCTTCATTTTGCATGCTGTCGGTGCACCATTTTTTTTTTTTGGTGGTTTCAGTATAGACATGCAAACTGTGATATTGATCCAGAAGAAGCTGAACATGCACTTGAAATAGCCGAAGCTGAGTTAAATAGAATCTGAATCAGACATGTGTTCCGGTTACATCTGCTGCATTATCAAGCTACGAACCAAAATAATACGATAAACACCAGGGACGCGAGAAATTTAGTAGACCCTAGACACGAAGAAAGCATCGTATCCAGGCGGGCTAAAACCCTGCGAACAAACTGTCATGTACAGGTCAAGACCTTTACATTGATCACAGAATTTGGTTCCTGTCACTGTTTCAGGACCAACAAACTTGTAATGCCTCACACACAATACACAAAAGCAAGTGAACTGTGGAAGTAAAATCTAGCCTCTAATTAGTTTCACGAGCACAACAGCCCTGCATCTCAAGAAAAAAAATGTAGAATTACACATGCATTAGGTCCAACTGCAGAACTAATGAGCAACCGAAGATGAATATGAAGCGTTTTCATTTGAATCAGCATGATCGATTGTGTTGAGGGCCAACATTTGCAGTGTCGCTGCCGCATTAGGCTTGGTTCAGCTTGTTCAGCCGAGCCTTGGCTTGGTCAAGTTGCTCTGCAACCCATAGCAAATCGTAAAACCAGAGTAATGTTAGACAACGCAAGCTAAGGAGAGAAAGTTACTGGAGAAAGATGCAATGCACTAGCGGTGATGGGCAGTTCAGCATACTCTGCTCCGTTGTGACCACTGATTTGACGCTCTTGCGAAAGAAGATGTTGCCAGCTTTCTGGTACACCGCCTAATGCAAACCAAGAAACTGTGACTGTGAGTAAGATGGACCAAGTTGTGAGTTCGTGACAAAGCAAGCTACTGAAAGTTTGATCCAGTAACATCCATGCTCTTGCTCTCAAACTGGATAATCAAAACTTCTGCCAATTATCATCTGATTACCAATGTACAGAAATAAGGTGATGTAAAAATGTAGCATCAGTTTATCACTGGCCAACAACATAGTATTAGTAGTTGCCATTGGTAAGGGGTACCACCATCTCACAGCACCTGACATAAATCGCAAGCAAGGGAAGGAGACACAGGGGAAGAGGCTGACCCGGGAGGGATTCAGGTTGCCTAGCTCCGCGATCGCCACCTCGTGCGCCCGTATCTGCGGAACACCAAACCAAATCCAAGCGGCAGATTATTTTAGTTCTGCTCTCACCCGCCGAATTCGGAGAACAATAACAGGAAGCTCGCGACGAGAACTACACGAAACACCGATAGAGGTGTGAAAGCATTGGGAGGTCGAAAATACCTCCTTCATGAACTCCACCTTCTTCTCCACCACCTCCTTCGCCGGTGCCGACCCTGCCGTCGCCGCCGCCATCTCTGTCCGCGCTTCGAGAAAACCCTTCGCCGGAAAGACACGCTTTGGAGCTGGAGCACAGCCGCAACACAAAGGAACCATGTTGAGGCCCATCCAGTCAACTACTAGTAACATCGGAGGCCATCTAAAAAGAGAGGCCGGATCTCACAGCCCAGGCCCAACTTCTCGGCTTTCGTGGCCCAAGACTTGGAGCCGATTTCCCTCTAAGGATCTTAGGTAGTGTTTGGATGAGAGAACGAGGAGGGAGGGACGGGATGGACCCGGATGAGCGCCGTTTGGTTTGGAGGTAACCGGGGGCGAGGACGTCCCACGAGCGAATACTCGCTCAAGATCCGGGCTCGCCTCGCCCCCAGAAAAACAATGGACGGGGGCAGTCCTCGGTGTGACGAGTCGCACACGCGCGTGAGAAGAATCGAGGACAGGAGTGGGAGCTTGCCGCAGTTGAGGAAGAAGGACGAAGCAGGGACTCACCGGCGTTGCTGGAATCGAGGAAGAAGCGGTGCGCGGCCATGGGGGCACGAGCTCCGCCCCTGGCGCCGTCGTGCCTGGCCCCGGCGAGCGACCATTGGAGCACGGGCTCCGCCCCTGGCGCCATTGTGCCCAGCCCGGCGAGATCCACCCCTGGCGCCGTCGTGCCCGGCCCCAGCGAGCTCCGCCCCCGGCGAACCACGAGAAGGTCCTCGGTGCGAGCTCTGGGGCCGGTCCTACCGTCGCCGCGAGAGCTCCAACCCCGCCCGCGGAGGCGTGGAGGAAGCCCGGGGCAGCGCACGTCCGGGCTCTGGCGGAGGAGGCGCGGGGCAACCCTGCTGCGAGCCGCGCGGCGGGCTGCTGTGCGGTCGCGCGGAGGAGTAGCGGCCTCACGGGAGGTTGCGTGGAAAGCGACGGGAGGGATAACGAGAGAAAAAAAAACAAAAAATAAAAAAAATGACAAATGAGCTCCACCTGTTATTCACTTATCCCCGCTTTTAGGGCATGTTTGGTTTACACTGCCCCTAAATTTTAAGTTACCCCTATTTAATTTAGTGGACTAAAAAAAAGGTCTTTTAGTGCTTTTTTAGTGATGGTGTTTAATCCAAAGTGACTAAAAGATAAAACAGTCAGACTAAAAGATAAAATTTAGTCTCATTTAATAATATTTGAGTGATTAGTTGACTAAAGATAATTTAGTCCTATTTAATCAAAGTATTTAATAAAAAGTAACGGATTAAATGGACTAAATTTAGGAGACTAAGAGTGAACCAAACACTTTCTTGTGTCTCCGAACTAAACATAAAACGGGTTGGTTCATATCTGCTCAACTAAAAAAAATTAGAGTCAGTCCCATCCCACGGATCACGAATCGTAAACGGGACCATCCCAACCTACTACTTACCTACCGGAGTCGCGGCTCCGTCCATCCCCGCCGCCGGCAAAGTCCCGTCCGCCGGTCTACTCCCAGTCTGACAAAGCCATAGTCAGTGCGTCCAACGTCGCCAACGGTAGCAGTCAGATTCAGGAGTTGCGCCCGGGACAAGAGGACAAGGAAGTCTCCGGTCCGACCCAGGCCCCAGCGGCAGCGTGGACGGCTCACCACTTCACCATGGCAACGCAGGTTGCCCAGATGGAGGAGAAAGGCGAGGTCCGGTTTGCGTCCCGGGTGTGGCGTTTCCGTGTAGTAGCGGTCAGCGAGCGAGCTAGGTGAGTCTTGAATGATGCTTTTACATGCTTCATTGTTCAGACTCATCAGTAGGTGGCCATTGCTCCCGAAATGTATGTGCATAGTATTCCTCTGTGTGTTAATGTTATGAGTCTGGAATGAATGAGGGGGAGTGATGGCACTTTTAGAAGATCCATATTAATGCAAGTAAATCTTCTGAAGGTAGTGGATTTCCGTGTGTTTTGGTCAACAGAACTATATCAGGAGCCGTGCTTCTGTTTGGAAACAAATATGCATTTGAATTTAGCTGATCTAAAATTCCATCTGGAACTTGTAGTGATTACTAAGCCTTAACTTTGCCACCATATGGGTTCATTTAAATAGGTTATGTGAAAAATAATACAAGACAAGTTTATTGAACTATCCCAACAAGCTTGTGTTAAGTACTGCAAATAAGGGAGAGAATGTAGGCAGACAGCTTCAGCGGTGGCAATAAAAATCTGACAATATCAGCAAGTTACAACACCCACCGATTGAGGAGAAAGCAAGAAGAACTGGTGCATATCTTAGTCAGGCGCTGTGCTAAGATCTCACAGTTAACATAGAAAGCTGGAAGGATCTTGGCTGCTGACCCCTCTGCAAAAAAAAGTGTATAAACCTTTGGACAGGATGTGATCGCGAATGAATAAAGTTCGACAGTTAGTTTATGTACTAGTTCTGTGCTATAATATACTAGTATGGTATTCCCTCCACTCCAACTTATAATTCACTTTGGCTTTGTCCTAACTCCAAGCTCTCAAATTTTGACCTAGTTTTGAGAAAAATATTGATAAGATCAAATAAATGCACTATTAAGGCATATTTATAGTGATTTTAATGAAACTAATTTGATATTAATATATTATAAGTGTTGATTTTTTAATGGACTTCGTCAAAGTTAGTAAGGCTAGACTTAGGACAAAACTGAAATGAACAATAATTTGAAATGGAGGGAGTAGAATACAAAATATTTTATTTTATAAGTATATTGTATAATAATATACTATATTCACATGAACAGTATAAGTAATTTTGTACTCTTCGTTCTTTTTAAGTGTGATGTTTTTTACTTCTTTGCAGTCTACAATATACATCTTTGACCTCTCCTTTTTGTAACTTCACATAAACATATGTGAATAAAATTGTAATTTTAGGAAAGCATTTCGAAAGAAAAAAAAATCAGTAAATATAATTTTGGTATAGCTGAAATTGACGGCATGGACTTTTGAGTTAAACAAAAAAAAAGTAGGGAGTGTATTTTAGCAATCAAAAATCAAAATTAAGAAGTTTGACAATGCAATAAAATGTTATATTTTTTGTATCAAGGTAATATAATGTATATGCTTTATTCTGAACTTCCACTGTTGATATGATTAAAAGGTGAAGTGGTAGTAGTTAAGTTGCCAGTTTGTAAGGAAGATGGTCAAATCCAGTCAGTACTCTGTTTTGGAAGCCAATCTTCAGGCAATGCTTGAAGTGTAGATCTCATTACTAACTGAGTAATAAAACAATACAAAGTTGTTGTTTTTTTGAAGCAAACAATACAAAGTTGTTTGAGAAACCAATGGGGCACAAAACAAAAGTTGGTTGATACATCCGTAATATTTTAATTTTAGTTAAAATTTAAAACTGATCAAGAGAGGTAGCTGGCATCCTTTCCAAAGGAGCCATAAAGTTCCCAGCTGATGAATTACAAGTTACTTGCTCTATTGTCAAGGATGAGGGGCACTGCCTACTGTAACACAACTGGTCATCAAGAGCCAACATTTTGTAAAATCACTTGCACCCAATTAAATTTTAGTGGTTGTTTGCGTTAAAAAAAGGAAGTGGTCAATACTGTGAAATAAATAAATAGTCTTGGCAGGATAAGGCTGGACATCGGTATTGTTGTTAATTCACTGAGCCAGATTCATAGCAGTGTGCTTCAGCTTGATTACACATGGACCATGCTAACTAATTCAATGAGATAACATTTTATTTTCTCAAGTTGTTTTATTGGTTTATTGCGACCTGGGGACATTCTATTGTAGTTTATTTTACCTAGATGCTCCTTTTACTAGCCCAATATAATGAGTGCTTCCTGCAACTGTTCGATTAACCTTTCTGCTGCAATATATTTCTGTATTTCTCCAAAAATGCATGCATACTTGCTGTAATCCTTGTGTTTCAGACGTGAGGAAGAAGCACTCATTTTTTGAAAATATATGCTTGCTATTATTTTAAAACTCCAGTGATCTCTTGTCAGGAATGTACTGTCAGGTACGATAAATGTGTAGTACAAGAAAAATGATAGCTGCAGCATCTATCTCATTTGGCCATTGATTAAGGTTCAAACTTGCACTTTCTCTTTCGAAACATTCATGTATAACCTGTGGGCCATGCACTAGGTTTACATTGCCATCCACTGAAGAGATAGCACAAGAAATCTTGCTCCAGTGTCTCAAAAATGGGGGCCTAGCACGCCATGCCTTGGCCTGTAGTTGCTAGCCACAAGCCCACAACCAGAACCTTCAAGTCTTCCTTTTCTGTACAATATCTGAACAGATTAGTTATTACTCGTGTTACCGGATATGTGGCTAAGATCTAGGAAATCATCAAACATAATGCTTGACCTTCCTTTAAGCTCTTTGGGAGTGTGAGAGATCAGTTTTTGTGGTTAACAATCATGAATAATTAGGAAAGGAAATGCAAAAAGAGATTAGTTTGAGCATGTAGGCCTCAAAATTGGCAACAAGATTGAAACTAATAGGCCTTGCAGAAATAAACGGAGGGAATACAAACTTCGTACTAAAATTTTACTGTGCTCGTTGTGCTTATACTTTTAGTCCCCACAGTGCTTCTGTTCGGCACTGCTGGCTGGATCGTGGATTATTACTGCTGACTGGTTTGGTGTGAGAGAAAAATATTGTTCTGGACGGAAGACACTGTTCATATGAACAGTGCCCGCGTGAGAGGGCTGGCCAGCACCAGCCAGCCAGCCTCGGCTGTATGTGGTCATAATAATCAAGTTATCCATTACTTAAGTGAAAAGTGGGGATGGACTTGGGTATATTTATGGCTATTAGCGTGTTTGAGAAAAATTTATGGCTGTTAGCTATGAAAAACTGTATCAATATTTACTTGTTACACTTTTATTAAATGGCAGATTTGCTGTATCTAAAGCAAGAGAATGAGAACTGATGTATGCTAGAAAGCAAACCTGTGCTCCTTCAAAAGTCTCAGTGCCAACATCTCCTGTCTATTCTGATGTTGTTTATCTACTATATAAACTTCTGCCCAAATGATAGTTTCATACCTATTTGTCTTTTCTTGTGTAAACCCCGGGAAAAAAAAACCTATGAAAGTCAAAGGATATATACTATGTATATAATGCACACACTAGAATCAACGAAGGGAGAAAAATGGGTGCCATAAACTGAATTTCTGAAATCAAGCCAAGCAAGAAGGCAACAGAGGAAACAAAAGATTATGCCAAGAAAAACATCACAAATTTACAGCTAAGCCGGTAGAGCATCATTACCCCCAATTAATTCTCTTTGCTTGTAAGGGTGCACCGTCATGTCAATGGAAACCAAGGAGCTCGAACACAGGCAACAAGGGTTTCGACGATGAACTCACAGTAGTTTTTCAGTTGCAGAACGCTAGATGACATGAAGTGATATTGGCTCGGCTCACCTCCTGTGGCACTGTGAAGTTTGCTGTCGATGAGAGATGAGCCAAGTCAATACCATGCCATGTCGTCTCGTTCTATGCTCTTGGCTCTCTTCTTCTGAATGCTCCTTCACTGCACTTGGGTCGTCTTTATAGAGCAGCCGTGAATAGTTTTTTAAGATTACAGCTGTCGTGCCTGGTGCTGGAATGAAATCAGATCAAACAGCTGGAAATTCTGACCGTGATCTGGTACGACAAAAAATCGTTCA